TCGTTAGTTAGCTTGGAGGCCATTGCTATTAGCTTGGAGGCCATCGCAGTTAGCTTGGAGGCCATTGCTATTAGGTTGGAAGCCATCGTTAGTAGAATTTACGAAAGAGTTGATGACACAACATACTTGGAGGTTCTCCAGAGGGATCCCCAAGGCCACTCGTCAGGGTCCCCAGAATACAGTAGATTCTTTTCATTGTTTTTCGTTGTGGTTTGGCCTGATTGCAGTTTGTTGCATTTCAGACTTGACGCAATTCAAGCTTGCAAGGTACACGTGACAGCCACTTTTGGACGCTCGTGCCCAAGCGCCAGGGCTGATTGTTTCAAGCCGCCAGTACGCCGGCACAACTCAGGGCTGCCGGCACTTGGTCGAAAGCGGGAGCAGGTCCCTCAGTCAAGTTGTGCACAGAAAAGAAGGGATTTATTGAAATACAAGTCAGCACACGATGATCAACATGCGGCAAATTTTGTGGTGCTGGAAACTCCTAACTCTTTTTGCTGTAAGTGATGTTGTTTGTTCCGCTGAGTTTCACCATTTGTTGTGGCTTTTTGGTCGTTCAAACACCACAAAGTGGGTGCGCAACGTGCAGGTTTGCCGTCCTTTGTGGAGCCGACTCGGGGTCTGAGGAGCCTCCAAAACATTCAAAAACCGTACTGTGAAAGTTATAGGTACTGGATATCTGGCAAAGCAAACTTTTCCAACAATTAGCCATGAAAAATGTGTTAGGACGCAGACACAGGTTCATGCCTGAGATTTGGACATGGGAAATCCATGGGATGGGTGATCCTTTTTTGGAGGATCTTCATTAGATTTTCGCTGCGGCATGTTTTGGCTTTGCTCATGCTTAGGTCCTGTCAGTGTTGAGAGGTCTAGGCCTAAGAACAAAGGCCGGCCGGTTTTCGTTTGTGTTTTGAATTTCTAGTAACAAGTGCCTTACTAGTAGTAACAAGAAGCTACTAGGAACAAGTGCCACGCTACTAGTAACAAGTGCCTTACTAGTAGTAACAAGAAGCTACTAGGAACAAGTGCCACGCTACTAGTAACAAGTGCTTTACTAGTAGTAACAAGAAGCTACTAGGAACAAGTGCCAAGCTACTAGGTCCTGTCAGTGTTGAGAGGTCTAGGCCTAAGAACAAAGGCCGGCAGGTTTTCGTTTGTGTTTTGAATTTCTAGTAACAAGTGCCTTACTAGTAGTAACAAGAAGCTACTAGGAACAAGTGCCACGCTACTAGTAACAAGTGCCTTACTAGTAGTAGCAAGAAGCTACTTGGAACAAGTGCCACGCTACTAGGAACAAGTGCCACGCTACTAGTAACAAGTGCCTTACTAGTAGTAGCAAGAAGCTATTAGGAACAAGTGCCACGCTACTAGTAACAAGTGCCTTACTAGTAGTAACAAGAAGCTACTAGGAACAAGTGCCACGCTACTGGTAAGAAGTGCCTTACCAGTAGGAACAAGAAGCTACTAGGAACAAGTGCCACGCTACTAGTAACAAGTGCTTTACTAGTAGTAACAAGAAGCTACTAGGAACAAGTGCCAAGCTACTAGGTCCTGTCAGTGTTGAGAGGTCTAGGCCTAAGAACAAAGGCCGGCAGGTTTTCGTTTGTGTTTTGAATTTCTAGTAACAAGTGCCTTACTAGTAGTAACAATGGTTGCTATCAACTCAGACAACCTCAATCTCTCGATTGTCCTTCGTCAGCTTTGGCTCAGGGTCAACACTTCTCACAGGACGCGAACCATGGCAGCCGTGGAATACGCCAGGTCAGGAAGATCAAGTTGCAGCTGCTGTGGCGAGCGCATCGCAGTAGATTCCGTGCGATTCAAGGCTTCATTTTGAAGTTTTGTGTTATTTCTTGCGCACATACGAAACTGAAGGTATTAATGAAGAAGATGCCCCGACAATGTTTTTGGGGTTTGGGATCCTTCGCCCGAATCATACCACGAAATCGGTAGGTTGCCAGGAAATGGCATTGCGTCGAATGCTTTGCCCAGAGTGGCAAGAGGAGCGAGAGGAGTGTTGATGGTGCTGACGACCTGAGCATTGATGACCAACGCATTGTTTCTCAGTTGAAGACATCCAAAAGCTACTAGGAGCAAGGGCATCGCTACTAGTAACAAAGGGCATCGCTACTAGGAGCAAGGACGCTACGAACGGAGCATCGGTCTTTCTCAGTTGAAGACGATTTATAACGGTTTCTCCTTGGAAACTAAGACAAATCCCTTTAGTGAAGATGTTTCGCATTCCAGAGTCGTTTTTCATAAGCTTCTCCACAGGAAAATTCTGGAGTGTGAGATGTCCAGATTTGTACTTAAAGGAAGAAAGAAGAAATGCAAGAATGTCGAAAGAGAAAACATATGAAAAAACAAAGAATTACTGTTTTGTCAAAATGAGGCGCTATTAGGTTGGAGGCCATTGCAATTAGGTTGGAGGCCGTCGCTAGTAGGTTGGAGGCCATTGCTACTAGGGTGGACATTGCTACTAGGTTCTTTGAAGTTTCCTTTAAACATTTGTACTTTGATTCCAAGGTCTCAGAGCTCAGGAAGAGATCACGAAGTGCGTCGGCGCTCCAGCAGGAGGCCGAAGAGCTACGAGCAGTGCGACAATGTGTTCGCGAGTGGTCGAAGAACTACGGAGAGTGCGAAACTAAGAAGGACAAGGGCTAACAAATCTCACACTCAGTCCTTGCTTTGAGGTTCCAACTGATTTCAATAAAACCATGTCGGTGGTGCCATGTTAACATAAATTAACAATGTATATTAGTTGATCCGTTAATATACAGTGTTTGTTTTCTTTATGAAATAGAGATGAAATACACGTTCTACCAGCTGGTAGACTTCTCACACGTTCAGGATGCCGAAAAGGATGAGACTTCCGAGTCCGCTGAATCGCAGTCCACAGAGCTCTCCGAGCTTTGGGCCTTGGCCGAGAAATTGAGGGCCCTAATTGCTACTAGGAGCAAGGACGCTAGCAGCTCCCGGCCACACTACTTGATGGCAGCACTTGAAGCACTGGAGACTTGAATTGCTTCGTACTCGTAGGACTTGATATTTCTTGAACGGGCTTTGCTAAGGGACTTTAGCACGGCCAGGGGCAAAAGGCTCCGAAAAGCTTCCATATTTAGGGCGTGTCAGATCCAGGGGAAGAAGGAATCTGTCACCAAATTTGAGATCCAACGCCGTGCCAAGTGGCTGAACTGGCCGGACATTGGATCTGGATGGATCTGGTGTTTGGGCACGATCAAGGAGAGCATGTGCTTGTGAGCGGGTTGTTCGTGTGCGTGCTTGAGGGCTTGTCAGCCAACATCCTTGAGGCCAAGTCTAAAACGACTTCTGTTGAATCCCGGATAATCTTTACCATGTCAAGAAGAGTACAGTTTTGGTTGTCGCCTGCCGAAACTGAGGCCACAGAAACGTGCGCGGGTCAGGGCCTCGTTGAATGTGAAATCCGTATCCATGACCTCGTAGACCCAAAGAACTCTTTGGCTGTTGACATATACGGAGCGTGTTACTCAGCGGTTCTGACGAGGTCATCAGGCGAAAAATCAGTGGCCTGGTGGCAAACGTGTCCGAAAGACAGAACAGTCGAAGGACGTCAACACAACGAGGGAAGAAATAAGGAATATGAAGAAATTGATGTGTTTAAAACAAATACTGTATTACTATATATGATATACTGTATATAGTGTGTATATATATATATGATATACATAGGACGCCACTAGGGGCTCCTGGCCATACTACTAGTAACAAGAAGCTACTAGTATTTGATATGATATACATGGGAGTTGATCGAAAACCCCGTGTAAGGAGTTTTATATAAAACAGCCTTTCAGATGTTGTTAGAATCATCCGCGAAAGATTCGCGATGAGGTTCGCTAAAGTATCTTTTTTTTCCGCGAAAGATTTATCGAAGGTCATCGCTTTCATACGTTTTCCTTTCTAAGGGACTGACAAAGAATAGAAATAGAAGGCAATCTTCCGGCAGAGCTGGTGGGCGGAAGTGTCCCCATATGTCACAGACTAACGAATTGAAGCCTCAATATTTCCGTGCCCAGCCCTGGCAGTGCGTAAAGGATTCTCCGATTCCAGTCCCCACTGTCATAGACAAGCAACCTGAGTAGGCGCAGCCCTGACAGTGAGGCAACGACCTGCAGCTGCTCTGACGGGCTGTGCAGATGTTTGCATACGGCTTCCCCGGGAAAGCGCCAGTGAAACTTCGCGAAAGATCCGCGAAAGTTTCGCGAATGTGCCGCTAAAGTCCAGGTCCCCAGCTTTGAGGCCCCCCAACATTCCCCAAGCTGCATCACCCTGTGTTGGTAGCTGGCACGAGGATTGGGTTGAGTTGCTCCACAGATGCTGCAAGTGACCCTGAGTAGCTGTGGAAACATTCAACTGGTCATGCTGCAAGATGTCTGTCCCTATGACATGTTCCGGCTCATGTTAGCTAGAGATGGTTGTAGGACCATGCTTCGCGATGAGGCCGCGAAAGATCCGCGAAAGATATCTTTTTTTCCGCGAAGAATGGCCATTCCAGGATGAAAGAATATTGATCAACCACCACATATTAATTGCATGTGTTTTATCGTGATCTTTTTGGACCAAGGCTTCGCAGCGCCCGCCCCGGAGCCCGCCCCGGAGCCCGCCCTGGAGCCCGCCCTGGAGCCCGCCGAGGGCGTGGACACTGGAGAGGCTCAAAGTGTCACAAGTGCCGCTTGATGTTTCTACTAGCAAACATTGTTCCTAGTTAGCGTCCTTGCTCCTAGTAAGGCCAGGAGCCCCTAGTAGCTTCTTGTTAGTAGTAAGAATGCTCCACCCTAATATCGCTTCCTAGCAATGGCCACCCTAAGAGCGATGGCCTCCAACTCCAACCTAATAGCTGGTATATGACAAATGACGAGATTTGCTGTGTCACCAGAGAGGCTGCATTCGTCACTCCACCGAACATATTCCCAATTCTGGCGCTTAACATAGCCCAGCTGAGCGAATGACCTCACTATGAACGAAGCCTATGCTCTACCAGGGCTAAAAGACATGCAGTTTGACCAGATTGATGTTGCTAATAGGTCCTGGCCCTTCGTACTTGCAAAAGGACCTTGATTTGGCTTCCTCAGGTTTGGACTCCTCACCCACCTCACCCGTTGCGTTTTCAAGGCCTCTATGCCTTGACACACCACTTGCAGGGTTTGCATGCCCTTCAGTCCCTCTACTAGTGTTGCTTCAAGAAGACTAAACATTTGCCCGGGAATGTCAAGCTCTACTCGTTACAAGCCACTCACTTCGCCTCAGGTTTGTAATGCCTTACTTCTGCGATGCCCGTGTGAATTTCCACTATGAAATGGGGAGGGTTAAGGTACTTTATAAAACAGATCATGCTTCCGTCATGGGTGACGTCGAACCCTCCATTTCATAGTGAGAACATGCTTGTTTACAGACTGTTTAAGTTTCAAACAATGTAGATGTTCCAAGCGTGTGAATATAGAGGTGTGCTTGGGGAGTGTGAGATGCTGGCTTCAGTTCATCTACGGGTTTGTTCACAGTATATGTTGGAATCCTGACAGCGTGTGGAAAAGAATCCTTGGCTTTTTGATGGTATGTGCGCAGCTCGTCCTGAATACTGTAAACTTTTACAATAGAGAATAATGGCGATCAAATGGGCTAACTTAGAGGCTCAAGACGTTTATAACATCTATTAACAGTTAGGTTGACCTCCTCATTTCATACAAACCAAAACAGACAACCTTACACCTGTCAATTTATTTACGGTGTTGTCCTAACCAATTCATATGAAATGGGGTGAGGGACCCCCCCCAGAATTCACACCGGGATCTTCTACGCACGAATTCTTTCGGTTTCCTTGCACCAATCCTAAAGAAAAGGGTGGTTTTAAAAATGGCTTTGCGAACTTTCAGTGGCTTTGCATGTTCCAGTTTTCTTGTCGCTCGCCCCAGCGGATGGCAGGAAGCTGAAAGAAAGCTCGAAAGCGAAGCTCCGAAAGATGCTGAAGCACAAGCTCCGGAGAGGGCGAAGGTTTGAGGTGGGTGGAAGGATTGTTCAGGTAGTTACTGAGTTGACATGCCTTCAATTAAGTCTAAAGCGGTCTCTTTAGAGGTCCAGAGAAGAAAGGCATGTCAATGTTTTGTTATTTATCATGCAAAATAAGTATTTGGCAGACGAAGGCCTTCGGAAGGTGTCAGAAGTCTTCTTGTTCAATTAGACCTCTTGTAAAGCAGAAGGCATTCGGGCATTTAGAGCCTAAACCCTTAAAGGATTAGGCGTGTACCTTTTGCTGAATGCTTATATATACTGTAGTGTAACGTATATATAGTGTAATATGCTCATCGACAATGAGAAGACCTTGTCATTATGTGTTTTCCTCAACAGTGTCCTTCTCCTGACAAGTCGCCACATGCATTGTGCCCTTGTCCAGGAGGGTGGTTTGCCCGCGCCAATGCGAAAAAGAAAGAGGAAGAGGCAACAACTAAACCTGTTGAAAGTAACAAGAAGCTACTAGGAACAAGTGCCACGCTAGTAGTAACAAGAGCCTTACTAGTAGTAACAAGGACGCATCAGCAAGACAACCATTGGCA